TCCTGCTGCAAACAGTGCAGAACTCAGCCTGATGAACTCAGGAGAATGAAGGATGGTCAAACATGTAGTTAACATAGGCAGCCAGAAAAAGACAATAAAATCTTCATCCTTTATGGATCCAGACAACAAACCAGCTTTTGCTGCCAGCACAGAACAGTCCTTCAAATTAGTCCTAATGCTCCAGGTATTATCTAAATTGTTATTTCGTGTGCAACAGTCCATGAAGGAATAGAAAGAAACTGAAACATTAAAACAGATGCCACTGGACGCTCCACAATGCACATTAAACATCTCCCTTACTGTTTTTTATCATCATAAGTTTTTAGTGGAAGTAATAAAGTGGAATTAGAGTGAAAGCCTATAGCAAGGCACAGCCTTGGGAAGTGTGGTCTGTGCCTGAAAGACTAGAGTTTCCCAATTTCTATTGTGGCTTCAATACACTAATGATGAAAATATGGCACACGGGTGTTGCCATTAAATGTCATCTTTACCCACTATTATAGCAGAATTGTGAAATCACAAATACTTTTTACAGGTATTAAGAAGACACTGAAAAAAAAAACCAACAAGAAATTATTGTTACCTAGGATGTGACAGGTTCATACTACATCAGACCGTGACTTACTCCATTCATTACTAGGTACGAAATACAGAGGAAGTGTGATACGTACTGGCAATACAGGTAGAGAAAGAGAAGATTTAATTCTGGAGCTGCAGGTAGAGATTCCATAAGTGACCCAGTGATTTCCACAGGGGTCTTTCCTCTGATGCCAGTGAACTTTTAGACTGTGTCTTTTTGTTTCTCTCTGCTCTTTCTCTGAGTTCATCCCTGTTGAACTGTTCTGGCTTATCAGCAAAGAGGTGTTTTGGACCAAGATTGTTATTTTGTTTTCTGCACAGTACTGTGAAAATTGCCTAGGCTGGCATTACAAGTGTTGTAGCTGCCAAAAATGCTGGTGTGGGTTGAGGGTGGGCAGGGAAAACTGTTCAGGAAGAATTTTAATATCGATTGATATGCTAAAATACCTTCTAATTCCCATTCTGTCTGCTGGCTGCAAAAACCTTTACAGAATTAAAAAGTAATGGGTTAAATGTGGGAAAGAGATGGCACGACTCAGTTCTCCTAATGAAGATGTATGTTAAATCCGCTCTAAAACACATCCTGTTACTAAAATATAAATATTCTGGTGTAAGATGCACACAACAATTTTTACTGTTTATAGACTATGTGTCTTACCTCTGGCTGCATTGAGAAGAAAAATAATAGTGATCCATACTGCAAACATCTAAATCAAATAAGAATACAGTTCAAACATGAATAAAAATAGAATCTGGAATTCATCTAAGGATTTCCTTGACTCACTTAAAAATAAAAAGTCATAGTTGCCATAGGACTACTTCAGGCATTTAATGAGTTTCACCTAAAAGTATCAACACTTTCTTAAAGATATCAAGGCTTGGAGAAAATCCCTTTGGGATTTTTTCTGTTTGCCATGGAGATTTTGCATATGCAGATATCCTCTAAGTATCTCTGAAAGATTTTCTTCCTGACCTTGACAAACAGAAGCTTTATTTTCTCTACAGCTGTAATTTCTAGGCAAGCAAATAAAATTCTTACAGGATTTACACCACCATATTTTTAGAGAGTGAAGCTTCTTCCAGCATTTTATAGAAAAGTTACTCCTAGAACTGTTATTCAGTGACTGTATTTAAAAAGACCCAGGAACAAACAATTTGTGTTTCTACATCATATAGCTAGTCTTGAAAACTTATTTTGACCATTACTATCAGCCTTGTATGCTTACCAGCCCTAATCTACTTGATCACTTACTCACCAGCTGATAGATAATCATCCAGGTAAATGGAGCCAATCAGTTACTTCGATATATAGTAGGGTTTTGCAATCCCAATACTATTATTGCTAATAAATTATCTTCAAAAATGATCATTCTTTGTAAACTTTAATATCAAGCCCTTATCCTTCAACAAGTCCTGCACAGGCAGAGCCCTGCATCCTCTTCCTGATATCCCCATGCCACATCTCCTGAAGCCTGTAATATGCTCTTGTGAGCAAAGCGCTCATCCCTGTGAAAACCACTACAGACTCAAGCACACCCTACTTCCATCTCCTCTCCTCCAGCCACTCACCAAATACCTTACATTTTATTACGATGCACCTTACTTCAGTTCCTCATATGTTCTTGGCTCCAGCGTACCCCATTTTACCTTGGCAAAGCTCGGACCAAGCTCTTTGGGTCCACCTCTCAGTTGATTGCGGCGAGCCTTGCAGAAGCCTCTTGAGGAGCCTGGAAGGAAGGACAGCACTGTGCCTGCCCTCCACGGGCAGGGGGTGGAGGGACGCTCACCCCACCGCTGCTCCTCAACGTTTGGGTTCCCAGCTGAACCTGTGGCTTTTTTGGCTAGTGCCAGCAGAGATCTCCTTGTGTCAGCGTGCCGTATCTGAGATAACACGAACCAGGTCAGACCAGTCGCTGCGTGACTCCGCCTGCTTAAGGCAAAGTTTCAAACAGGGTGTTCTTGTCATCTGTCGGTAATTATTTTTAAAGCCAAAAAGTGCCAGGAAGTGTGATGTAAACACTGAACAAACACACGGGCTTTCAGGACCAGGAACAAGGTTCTAGCCATCGGCTGGGCTGCTCGTCTCTGAGCGGTGCTGAGTTTGGGATTCGAGTGACTTCGCATCACACTGGAAGGCTGTAGAAGAGCCCCAATCTTTTGGGCCTTATTCCAGAGTTTCAATAGCAAAACCATCCTTCCTGGCGCTGATCCCTGAATTAAATAATTTATGCTCTTAGTCAAAATTTTTGAAATTGTAGTTGATAGTTAAGTCCACCATTAGACTATCAAGGCACAAACAAGGTATTTTAGGATGAGCTAGCATGTATGTTTGCAACATTTATGCTGTTACCTGAGAAAAGTCAGAAAGAAGAGAGAAGGATGAAAAAAACTTCAAATTGCTCAGTCTGTCATCTGCTATTTGTTTATCTTGTAGTTATCTTGTCTATAATTTTGTTAGTGGATGAATTACCTGACTTTTCTGTGAAAAGTTGACAGAAATGCTTTTAAAAAGGGGACAATAGTTCCTTGGGCAAATTACCACATGCGATCACCATGAATCTTCACAACTAAGTTGTACTAATTGCAGTAATTTTAGTTTTTAGTGTTTTGATAATGATGTCTTTTCATATAGTACTATATTCCTGTCACACTGTTATGTTAACACTTCTGATCAGGCTCTCCTACAAATCTTTGTTCCTGTGTGTGTGTCTTTCCCAACTTAATTGAGTCTATGATTCTACATATACACAAATGAGAAACTTGCATCTCAACATTTTAATGTTAAACCCTTTAAGTATATTGAGTGACTATTGCCACCTCCTAAGCCAAGGGTGTATAGAAAGGGGAGACTCCCTTTTGCTATAAGTCATCAGTCAGTGGAAGGATTATCTCACATCTAGCACATACAAATATGAATTGGATTAAAGTGATTCTTAAGAGTGCTAGATACAAAAACATTTCTAGGCTTTTTTTTTTCTTATCTAGCCTTGAAAGTCTTCATCTAGAAGTAAATCTCTGTGCTCTGTAACTCTAGCAGAAAATTAAAAAGGAAGGTTAGTATGTAGCCTAGATACTTTTTAAATTATTGTTTTATTTCTTCAGGACTGAATTAATCCAGTAAAGTGATGGATTATTATCATTAAAATTCATTTGAGTTATTTTATGCTCATATAAATAAAGACTGTTGCTAGGGTGCAAATTGGTCAGTTAACCAGTCACCAACAGAATTCAGCAAAATAAAATCCTGATGAGGTGTATGGAAAAAATGGTTAAAAGAAACAGACAAAATACCCCCAAACCTGCTTCCAAATTATCCTAGGCCATCCTGGCCAAAACGAGATTCAGTGATGGTTAATTGGTGCTCAGAACTGTGATGTTACATTGTACAGTATACTCAGATCTGGAGCTCAGGTGCTCAGATCTCCAATGCAGCATCACATTCAAAGGGAGCATTTCATTAGAATTTAAGGGCCCTACAGTATCTAATCTACACTACCTACTCCTGATTTATTGCCGTTATATATAATATTGGACCAAAACCTCACTTCATTCTATCCTCACAGTTTCTTCCTGCTTCAGAGGGATAGTTTATTGCAGCAACAGGTCACTCAATCTATTTGATTCAATACATTATTCTCGTTAATTTGAATCCATAGATTACACCTATTTAGAGTAGTTTTGTGCACAGGCTCTCCTGGGGAGCTCAAGAAATCAGAATTAGTCCTTACATTAAGAAGCCTTTCTGAAACCTGGTGTTATAGTCTCAAACCATACCTCAACCCTCTGCTGCAACATGGACTTTAATAGCGGGCTGGTGGTGAAGATTTCAGATCACTTCCAAGAATCCCTGATGTAGCCAAGTTAAGATTAGAACAAGATATTAATTGCTTTTGATTTTACCTATTATGACAGCATCGTTTTCTCATGTCCTAGATGCAAATGTGCACTGTTCAATTCTTATAAATCATCATTTCAGCTAGTATTAGGCATCAATTCGAGCTTAACTTCTCCAGGCTTTTCTCAGAACACATGAAGTGATTACTTAGTAATGTTCATGCTGCCTTTCAGCAGTCAGTGAGACAGCACAGCTCTTCTCTAGTGTTTAAGGCAAGGTTACTGGGAGATCAAGGCATCTTCATATTTGTAACGAATTAGTTAGAGGATTTACTTCAGCTGACAAGCATGAAATGGGTTTTCTATGCTAGTTTACTAATGTCAGGAAAGCTTGTAGCTCAGCAGCGTTGTTAGATGTCAGCACTTCTCTGTTGGCTTCTAGAAAACTTCTTGCTCAAACAGAGTTAACTACTTCAGTATTATTTGGGACCTGTGCAGGAAGCAGCAAGCCGCAAAATCCTGACTGTCCATCCCTTCAAAGTTCTTGAGAATTTCTCTTCCATAAACTTGTCCAAGCTGTCCCTGAACTCATGCACACTTCTAGCACGTTCATCCTGCATCAAACACGTAATTCTGCAGCTGTGGGAAGAATCATCTCCTTTCATTTGTCTTGAAGTGTGCAACTGCCAGCTTCATTTCATGCCCCCTGTTACTAGTGTGAAAGGAAATGAACAACTCATACGATATTTGCCTTTTCCACTATCCCCTTCAATTTATAGATCACATTCACACCCCTATCTCTTTTCTGAGCTGACTGTGTTACTGTTATCGAAGGGAAAGGTCGCAACAATGACAAAATTTATCTGCACGTAGATAAGTAGGCACTTCTTTATTGGAGCGCTGCGGAAGTTCAGGAATCACCTAATGCTTGGAATACATCACAAAAATTCAATCTATTTATACACCTTTTTTGCAAAATCATGATCTTTAACATATTTTAACATAAACAAACATACTATGCCTGCTGTTAACTCTAACCTTTGCTATGATTGGTTCATCCCTTATCAATACTGCTATATCCTATCTTCATCCAATCGTTGGCCATTGGGATGAGACCACATTTGATCACAAGGCACAAAATAGGGGGTAGGGAGAGAGATAGGGAGATAGGGAGTCATGCTCGCATGAAATACGTGTATTGATCTGTCTAAATGAAATATGCTGGTATTGTTATTAAAGCACAGTGCAGGCCTTAACAAGTACTAAACATTCCCTGCCAGTTCGGCAAAACATTCCCTGCCAGTTTTGTAACTTGCACCAGCTCTAACTCCAGCCAAGGCCTACACGCAACTTCTTAGCATAAATAGGGTTTTATATTCCTTACCCTTATATAAATCAATAAACTACTTTAATTAAAATGGTGATTAGCTATTCATTAAGCAATTAGCTCCTTAAAATTTAAGTTTGATTACAACAACTGCTGTTTTTCCCTTATATGCCAGAGGAGGTGGGAATGTGACTGCTCAATCCATTTGGAGCAGACAAAATTCAGGCTTTTGCCCCCCACTACCAAAACCAGTAAGGAAAAATCCTTCTGTCCTGAGGTTTTGTCAGTGAATGTGTGTTTTCTTGAGGGTTGAAGTGGCCAGAGGTAGGTGAAGGTTCTTTCTGCAGCAGAAACACAGCTTTGTGCAGTCTCTCCTAAAAGCTCTCTTCTATGACAGCATCTGTGTGAGAGAGGAACTTACGTGATGATGAACACTGCACATAATATATTATGGTAAAGAATAAGACTAACAGAGATAATTCATTAAAGAGCTGTGTGTGCTTTCTAAATTTTTTTTCTTTTAATGTTCTTTTTGCCTTTTAATTGTAATTGCATCTACTTAGCGTGTCTTAAGCTGGAAAGTAAACTTTCCGGGCAGGAATCTACCTATCTACCTACCTCTGCGCATTGTGGGAAGAGTAATTTAGTTTAGGGAAGTGTATGAATAATTTTTATAATTTTTGTTACAGATGGTAGCAGTAATGTAAAGGTCACCTTTTCCAGCACATTGGTTGCAAGGCGCTCCCTAAGGAAGTAATAGTTCTGAAAAAAAATCTTAAATACTAGAAAGTATTTTTCCATTCTTTCCAGTATGCTTGGCTGCTGAAATAGATATAAAGGGATTATTATTCTTTTTATCTGCTGTTACTTCATTATGATCCAGCTTCTAATACTTTTGTTGATGTCAATCCCAATGGGATCATTCATGGAGTAAAACACTTCTTAGCTAAAGAGCGAGCATCAAATGCTAAGTTCTACTTGCTTTGCATTTTAATACTGTTTAAACTAACAGCTGTTGCGTGACTTCTTTATTCCTCCCATGGAAGCTCATGGGGCTTTTTTGTACTTCTTGAGGTAAGCCTGGTGATACCATGAGATTGGATCTGTAATGCTGGTAACTACGTTTTGTCCCAGAAATTAGAGTGAAGAAGTTGTTTAAGAGCATTGCCTCCTATCTACTCTCCTCATAGCAATGTGTATTTTCAAGGGTGTGAGTGCGTAATTAGTCATCCTCTTTATTCACTGCTTACCTCTCTGTGGTTAACTGTAACACTTACGGGCACTCCTGGAAGATGGGTGAGGAATGATTAAACTTTACAAAGAACACTGCAGGAAACATTCCTCTGAGCTTCATCTAGCCTTCCAGTGTCTAAATCAAGAAGTGCTGTCTAGCCTGGTATGTCCAGGGCATATCTCATGTATCTGGGTACATCTGAAACAGCCCACTACCGTGCTACAAAGCTGTTTAGTTCGTGTCAGTTCAGAGCTCCTAGAAAACCAAAGATTCATATCAAGTTGATTTAAAAAAGCAGAGATAAGCATCCTCTTTTAGCCCTAGTATCGTTTAACTTTGATTTGGCAAAATTCAATCACATCAGCTCTAGATTTGAAAAAAAATGGGCAGAAAGATCATATTTGCATAGTGCTTCAGTTTGATAAAATATCCCTTTCCCTGGAACACTTCAGAGAAGAAAAGAATTCAAGTAGTGTTAGTGAGTTAAAGCTTTCAAGTTTGAGAACTTTTATTTTTTTTAATTTTTATTTTCAACATAGTAGTGGTGTGATTGCTAATAACCATCTGGTTAGTAATAGATTATGCTTTGTCTCTACAAGAGCTACTTGCAGATTTTGAGCCTAGGCTACAAACTTGAAACAGATACAGCAGGTCAGAGACACTGATTGGATTCAACGGTTAGACTGACTCACACAAGGGAAGATCTGAAATTTGTGTCTCAATAAATAAAATTTATTCCTGTGGTTATGTCCAAGTTTGTCTCAAACAGAATCTCAAGTGAGTTAGTTTTTCATCATTTCTATGATAAAAACTCCTGTTTGATGCATATGCCGAGGATAGCACTGAATTTAAAAATACAAATTAGGGAGCTGAAGACTGTGATATAAATAGAAAGTTTTCCATCTCCTCCAGCAAGGTATTTTAAGGCCTATGGACACTATGTGTGTTGATCTAAGTTTCAAGATGTAGACTAGACAACTAAATCGCAAAGAAAAGCAAAAGAAAGACCCAAACCTTTGGACTTTTTCCTAACCAATTGCCATTTCTTTCTCTTGTCATCCATTAGCATAAAATTTTTGGGTTTATGCTTTTGAAAAGTTAGAAATTATTTTAAGAAAAGACAATTAAACACCAAATCAAATGGATTTCACATATTAATGGGAAAGCATGGAATAAAGATTCTAATCATAGCTGTTTTCCATAGCCCTGTAAAAGTCTGTGGTAAATGGACTGTAATTGATGATGATGAATTTTGTTATGCAGTTTAAAGATTGCATGAAGTAGAGGGATAGAAGCTCTGTCTGAAAGCCTTTGATTTTATATTTCTGAATTAAAGCGGGTGGTTATTAGTAAAATAGGAAGTCATCCTTTTTAAGATAATTGGGACAAATCCCTGTCTGCTAGCATAATTACTGAAACACTATGCCTTTAGAAGCACTTTTTTTTTTTAAAGTTGCTGCTTCTGTCTGAAATTAAAGACATTTTATATTAAACAAGTAACATCAGCTTGTGGGATGGCTGGGTTATTTTCCGTGTTGATAAAATAGCTGTATCTATTTATATTTCTGAAATATAAGACTAAAGATAGGGACATTGACTTTCTATGTATTCTAGTCCTTCACCATATTTCCTCTATATTTCAATCTTAATCAGATTTTTAAAATCCTTAAATCTTATTTTTTTCAAGCCATTAAATGACTGTAGTTTTGGGAGCAGAATGATCCACGTTTAAAAATGGATGATGAAGTAAGTCGAATGATGCTTATTTGTATAAAGTGTTAGCTGTTCTTCTACAGAAACACCTAATAAGATAATTAATTGGTTTCAGATTGATCCTTTAATGTGCCACACGGCCTCGTTTATGTGAGTTCAGTTGTTATTTTGCAGGTGCTGGTTCTCTTCCACTGCATTTCCTTTAAATTCAGTTGAGCAGAGGAGATTTACATCAAGGGGCTGTTCTGTCACTGTCTCTAGGTTCTTGACTACTTGTAGTGTGACAGCACACATAATGGTGTAATAAAACTGTGCATCGTTTTTGTAGTACTCTCTACACTTGCAGCTTGACCACAGGTTTGTGTTTGTCCCTGATTTATGTCTTGTGTGGAGAGGAGATTTGAACTCGGAGCTGTGCACCTAAAGCACATGATGATCTCTAGGTTTACTCCTCCAAAGGACCCCTGGAGGGGGCTGACAGAAGTGGGACGTGGATGGTTCCTGAGCTCTGTTTGGTGCCTCTCACTGGCTTTGCTATTCCCTGTATAAAGTGATGGCTTACACAGGGAATAAATAACCTTTTCTCATATTTGCCTGTGACATAACACGGTTTCTTCAGCCTGTTTTCTTATTTTTTAGTATAATTTGAGAATGCTCTCAGAATTTTAATAATTTGTGGGCCACTATTGGAATTAAATCAAGTTTTAATGAAAAACCTTTGCCTTCTGCTGATTTTGGAAGGTTTCTCAACACTTATTTGAGAGGGGCCAGCCAGCACAGGGTAGACTATGAAGAAAAGTAACTAAATTATAGTATCTTTCCATAAATGAAGTAATGAAAAAACTACAGGATGGCACCCATTTATATGCAGGCAAGCTAAATTAGTATTACCTTCAATATGACCTCAGAAAAATCAAGTATTACCATTTCAGTTTTAAGCCTTTTGGCTTTGAAGTTATGAAAACACAGATTTTCGGGAAAATTGTGAAGAAAGCAGTCATGAAACTTTTTAAAGGGCTACCCTAAATGAGAGTTATGAGGCAGGGTTGCAAAGCACAAAGTCATTTTAAGCCCAAAGAATGTGGGAGTAAGATGTTGAAATCAGCACAACATGCAACATATAAAGGCATTACCACACTGATTAGACCTAATAAGTTTAACTGGAGTGTTTCATCATGTGAGTCCAACCCAGCTTTGTTTTAAGTCAGCCGAAGTTATTGCCATTGTTTTCAATAAGCAAGGGTAGAAGCCAGCACTGCACTATTTATTTCAGGGAGTATATAGTTGTGGTTTGTATCTGAGGTGCATACAACTGTCTGAAAAAGATGTCAGATTTCAGTAATTCAGTGATCAGTTACTAGACGGACATTAAACACAAAATGTGAAGAACTTGAGAGTGGGAAGCTTTAGGACTAGTTTCTATGTGGGCTTCATCAATCTGAAAACTAGCTGGTTGGTTTGTGAACATGTCACTTGTAGATGATTGCAGCACGCAGACTTTGGGTTTTCATAAAGCCATGCCTCTTTGGGGCTTATTTAACAGTTAAATCTCACGAAAAGAAAGGGCTATTTTGGCGTCCTCCTAAACTGTATTTTAACAAGGAGAAAATATTCCAGTGACAAATAAGGGCTTCTGGGCTAATAATCCTCCTCGTTCTCATGACTGGATATGTTACAGATGCAGCATACAGATAGTTTGTATGTGCGGAACAGGTATTTGCTTCCCAGATGTGCTTTGCACTGTGCATGTATATGTCCTGGTCTCCCCTCCTGGAGAAAGTATGCTGAAACTGCTATGGACACACAAACCATGGACTGATTTGAGCAATGTTTGTATATGCAAAGGAGGCTGCGCAGACTATTTCTGTCATTTGCAACTTTTGTCATGCACAATGGATATAAACATCTCAACCATTAGGTGCTTTCTGTTACTACCAGCCAGATGACAGTTGAAGTTGGTTGAGATTAATGTAAAACATCTAGTGAACAACTAATGATCAAAGATAGAATTCTCAATAGTTAGAAGAGGCAAAAGCCAAATGATGCCTGAATTGCATGCAGGATCAGCCCTGGAAATGTAGGAATTTACTGCATCCTTTGCCAGACCGATCAGGATCACTGACCCCACCAGGACAAACTATCTTGCTCAGCTGCAGTGTTTCACTGCTGGGGTTAGCGTGCCAGACATGCATGTGCCTCAGCATGATCTGTTTTTCACAGGCAATGTAGACAGAATCATAGAATTAGAGAGGTTGATTAGGCTGGAAAAGATCTTTAAGATCATTGAGGTCGACTGCTAACCTAGCACTGCCAGGTCTACCACTAAACCATGTCCCCAAGCACCACATCTACAAAGATGTGCTGAGCTGTCTCTGTGTCCAGGCAAAGGGCAGCCTCAAGCACTCATTCAGGATGAGAACACGCTGTCAGGCAGTCAAGTCAAATCTGGGAGCCAGCGGTTTTCAAAATCCTTGGGGCTACTGGTGACATGAACAGCAGTCAGAGCCTGCATCAGATGTGATAAAAAAGGGTCTCCAGACAGGCTGCTCCACCACCTCCATCTGCCAGAGACCTGGGCCCAGTGACCTCACCAACATCAGAGCCTGGCCCAAGAAGATGGAGCTTTTGGCCAAGAAATCAAAGGCCATCGTCATTGCTGGCCGTTTCACGAGTTCTGAGCAAACCAGCTTTTGTGTTTCTCTGAAAGGCTTCCTGCTAGCCTCAAAAACACCCTTCAAAGGCATTGTTTTCCATGGTCTTCATCTAGCTGCTGTCACTTCTTAAAGTAATAATTCTGTCTTTGCTATAAAATATAAAATTTATTAGGTGGAGTACGCTAATACTTCTATAACACAAAATGAAGGTAATAAGGAAGTTAGAGACCTTTTTACCCTTTTCAGTGTTGTTATAATAACTGACAGTTCATTCACTGGCATGAAATCTTAAATGCAGCGGAAATGGCAGTTCAGGGGTTCTTGGTTTTTCCTTTATAGGATTTCTCAGCTGCACCCTTTGCCCCAGTAGGATTTCATAATTGAAACTTCTCATATCCTGCAGAAATATTTTACAAACTCCTGAAATGTAATGATCTAAATTATTATTTCTTATGCACTATGTATATGTGTGCCTTTTAACTTATTTACTGAATTCTGTACATGTGCATCTGTATGATACATGACAGAAAAATGTATGGAGCATAATTTTAAATGCCATTGAAATTAAGTCATTCAAGTGATAAAAAGAGAGAATTGTCTTCCAACAACTAGAGAATCTGTAGAGAGAGAGTTAGGTGTGTGTGTGCTTTCAAGATTTACACAATCCTTCTCTCCATTTTGTAAATGCTGGTTACAGGGAGCTCTGGGACCCAAAGGGAAGCAATTACAGCCCTCCCAGTCTGCAAAGAGAACATGCAAGGCTGCCGATCACAGTGGCCAAAAAAAGTCATGGCATGTTTGGTATTTTGTTATAAGACAAACTGCTTTCTTTCATTAGTGAAACATTCCCCATGCCCTGCCCATAAAGAAGTACTAAAAATTAACATCTTCGGAGCAGTGAAATACAGAGGAGTAACGGTCTTGAAACTGCAGTGGGAACGAGCCCAGAATTCTGCCTGTCTGTGCCATAAACATCAATATGCCTCAGACTGATGTAATATATACATTTAGAGAATTGCTAAACAAGGTTAATATGTCTCAAAAAAGAAATTATTTTGTGGACAGAATCAGAGTCTTAGTTTATTGTAAGGCTCCCTGAATAGCTGAGGTGCCCTTCCAAAATCAGCTACGTTGATGTGTGAGCACCAGCATCTCTACCCAGAGTTTCAGTTGGTTTGTAAAGACACTCTGGTCCTTAATTATATGTGATGATTCATCCAGACCGTCATCCACAGGAAGGAATGCTTTCTGGTTCTCAAGCTGGGGTCTGTGCTCTGGCAACGTTCTCATTATATATGGGGGTGAGATCCAACACGTGCCACCCCTCTTTGCATTGCAGTCGGCTGGGAAGAGAGCTCAGTGCACCCCAGACTGTCTCAGCCTTTAAACCTAAAGAAAACAACCAGCTTTCATTGCATTGCTGAGCAGCACCACTAGTTCATCACTGCCTTAAAATAGCATAGCCTCTAAACAATGCGTTAATTATTATCTTGCCTCTTTAGATAATCCCATTAGACTGATATATGCAGGCATTTTATCAGTAAAATTGAAAGTAAATTACAAGGAACATCACTTTTCTGGCTGCATTGTAGATGACATAGCAGATCAATAGATGACTTGAAAACGCTCTTGCTTCAGTGTAGTGCAGACTTGGCCTCTTAATTTCTTGTGTTCAGGTAAGACGGCATTTGATGGTTGAAAATGATGCTTTTGCCAACTGATGTTTTAGGTAAGGGTAAGTTAAGTGTATAAGGTGGTAGCACTGGAAATACACTCTCCTTTTATTATAGGTTTGCTTTACTGATGTTCCTAGGAAGCTTTGCTTGAAGCAGAAATGCAAAATGCCAGGTCCTGCATGACTACTGTGTCAAGATATTTGCAGCTAATCTTCCTAAATTAGAGTAAAAAGTGACTAAATCAGCAGTTCTTACCTCTGGAGTTTGCATTGTCAAAGCTCCACACCTGAGACACAATATCTCTCCATGGAGTTCAAAGCCTGTGAGACCCTGGGACTGCCATGGAGGTATCATTTTAGTAATACTGGTGTTTTCAGATCAATTCATTAGCTGCCAAAATAGAAAATACTTAAAAACATCTACTGAAAATTTATTTGCAAGTAGGATTTATTATCAGGAATTAATTCCAAAACAGTATCTAAGAGCCTGAAGTATTGAAACACTGAGGGAAATATATAGCAGGTACGCATTAACCAGAGCAAGACACTCTTGTGGATAGAACTGGATGGTTTGGGTCTTGATATGCACTTGGAGTTTCCTATGAAGCTAATAAGCATGATTACAGTTGTAGAAACGCCTCCACAGAGCAAGCATTTTATGATTCAGGACAAGATCAACAACCACCTGCACATATTTTATACAGAAGAAAAACCTCAGAGGTTAATGCAGAAGGTCATGAAGTTGAAGGCAATTTTGCATGCATCTTTCAACTCCATTTTATAGTGTCATTTCCGTCATCTTCATTGCCAGTTATTAACATCACAGCAGCACCTACAGGCGAGTGCTACGAAGACACGAAAAGGAAAGATGTTGCTCCTGAGGTGTCAGGAGCTGAAACGAACAGGGGGAAATGGAGGAAGCAGAGCTGGACAGTGATGAACCCAGCAAAGCATGAACTGGCTGACAGCAGTCATTGCTGCCTGCCCCATTAGCTGTCAGGAGTAAATGGGGTTCTCCAGGTAAAAATGTGCTGCAGCCTCTCTTAGAAGGATTTAAAGGAATCAGAGATGACAACGGCTCTGGTATTTTTGTCCCTTCATATTTCCTGCTTCATGACATTTCTTCTGTGCAATTTATTCTAGTTTATACCCATGTTCACACATATGAAAAGTTAGAGCTGGTTGAATGTTTTGAGAATTGGAATTAAGTCTTAAATTAGATGAGCTACTTTTACATGCTCCCCATGACTGAATAATAAAACTGTGATGCCTTATTCCCTTGCAGAAATTACAGTAAGAAATTGTATGTTAACTTGCTAAAAAAAAAAAAAAGGAAAGGAAAAATCCCTGAAAACTACCTGTTCAGTAGTGAAGCACATACTGTCTGAAAACAAAACGGTGCTATTCAACGAAGTCCACATTCTATTGAAGTGCTATACTTGAGAGAAAATTAAATAAAAACTAGGAATGTTGGCACGGCAATATTTGCATGCAACCCTGTATCCAGAAATGGCTGTTGCATGTTGTTATTAGAGTTTAGGATATAATTACATATCAGTACATTTGCAATCTCTGAAGTGGCCTACACAAGTGTATCCATACAGGTGGCATATACAAGTATCTTCTATCAGGTAGAGAATTACAATTTATGTTATTTGAATCCTCAAAGAGTGTGAAAAGTTCTATTTATGTGCATTCTGTCCAACAGGAATAAAAAAGACCTGGGGTAATATGATCTTCAAATATATCTGATTTCTTAGATTTGCTTGAGTATTTCCTGAGAAGCACTAGCATCAACCATTTGGTTTAAATTACTGTATTGAAGATACAATTAGAGGCAACTATATTAAAAGGATTTTCACTAATCTACAGGTTGAAGTAGTTTCCCTGGAAAATTGAGAAGAATCTTTCTCACTGCAGTCTTCTCCTTTATTTTAATTGTTAATATTTATTTGTGCTTTTCTTTCGGATAAAATTAATAAGAATCTGTATTGATTGGATGAGGGTTTCTTTTCACTTGTTTTGGCATAGTTACAGCCAGGAGCCAGAGTGATGGTTTAAGTTTCTGAGTGTGACAGAGAGATGGATAACAGCTGATCCTCATAAATACCCTCCAGTGAGAGTCTGTAATTTTGGGGTTTTTTCACTGATGATTTTTCTTCATAGCTGGTTACCTAAGGGGAGAGAAATAGCATAACTCTTTCTCTACTTAGTTGTGCAACTCTGTTACGCTCTCTGAGCTGCCCCAGTCACTGCTGAGCCAATAATGCCAGCCTTGATTTGTTTGTTCACCTCTCCTGTGGTGCACGTCCTCCTCCTAAGCCACTCCTAGTCCTAGAACCTGAGCTGAGTGTCTGAGCTCTCACCACCTCTCCTCTTCCTACACATCACCTGCAACACATTCCTCTGCTTTGATGCGTATGTAAGCACCACAAGGATGCGCTCAGCTCTTCTCAGGGTAACTCTGTAGCCTTTTTACAGCAGCATCATTTGTTCTCCCTTCATCGTGTAGTTGTGCTTCCTGCTTGTGACTGAAAGGAGATTTTTAGCTCTTCTGTGTTGCCATGTAATCTGTCTGTGGCAGGAGACACCTGTTCACTTCCAGGTGCCATAAATAAGTATGAGTGCTCTAAATTTGTAGGTGATAGTTTTTCTGTGAAGATTACATCTGTGTCTACCTATAAGAAAGTTGCATTGAGCTCCAGTGAAGTGCTTAAGCTGCCCTCATGCATGTGGGTGGCACCCAGGAACCTGCTTTAAAGCTCCTGAACCTCAAGGGGAAATGCCACCATCAGAGAGGTAAATTTGAGCCATTTTGGTGATGATACAGCTTTTCAAAATCTAGTGTATTGTGCTAGTTTTGGCTTAATTTGATTTAATTTTCTTCATAGTAGCTGCTATAGGGCTGTGTTTTGGATTTGTGCTGAAAAGAGTGTTGGTAACACAGGGGTGTTTTAGTTACTGTGGAGCAGTGCTTACACATGGTCACGGCCTCTTCTGCTCCTCACCCCACCCTACCAGCGGGGAGCTTGGGGGTGCGCGAGAAGTTGGGAGGGGACGCAGCTGTGACAGCTGACCCAAGGGCTATCCCACACCACATGACCTTGTGCTCAGCATATAAAGCTGGGGAAGAGGAAGGGAGGGGGCATGTTCAGAGTGATGGCATTTGTTTTCCCAAGTCACTGTTGGGAGCAATGGAGCCTGGCTTGTCTGGGGATGGCCGAACACCTGCTGATGGAAAGTGGTGAATCATTTCCTTGTTTTGCTTCGCTTGCATGCACAGCTCTGGTTTTATTTGTTAAACTGTCTTTATCTCACGCCACGAGTTTTCGCACTATTACCCTTCTGATTCTTTTCCCCATCGCACCAGGGAAGGAATGAGCAGGTGGCTGAGGGGAGGCTGAGCTGCTAGCTG